AGAGGACTTATCGCTATGATTCATGTATTTATTTCTTAATAAAGTTGTTCAAGAAAGATTAATTCAAATTATTAAGATAAACGTATGGACCAAGTGGGAGAATATAACGGTTATTATTAAATATCTTATTTAATAATAACGTAACCGTTCTCATTAAGATTCATAATTCATTATCATGAATTTCTTCATTTATTATGGTTTAAATGATTTCAGTTTTTTAATCATTATGCATGAAACCGTTATTATTAAATTAAATATTTAATATCATTAAGTTCTTCATTATGGTCCAAACGTTACAAATTTGAATTAATTCTTGAACGTTATGAGTTGGTGATGATAAATGTTCTTGATGGGAGAACATCTATATATACATGAGGATTTTGGTCCCTTGGCTCAACAATCTCTTTGAAGCGAAAGGGTTTCCTACACCATTTAAAGCGAGAGTTTAGAGCCGAGAAGAACCAAAGTTCAAGAAGAAACCTCTGCAGAAATTCTTGACGACAATGGCTGGAGGTACGCTATTTCGTTTTCGTATTAGTTTTATTGTGTTTCTATTACAATGATTTAGACTTCATTAAAATTTCTTACAAAGGTAACGTTAGCGGTCACCACATATCATACAATGGGCTTAAATCTTAATACCACAACAGCTCTATCTCAACTTTCTCTTTCTTCTCATGGGATACTGCCAGCTTTAATGCTCTGAAAGGTTGCAATTATTTGATGTGGGTCTGCCAGGTATCCTAGAGAAGGAAATAAGTGGTCAGTAAGACATGTCCTGCTCTTCGAGCTTCTTCTTGACACATTGTAAATTGTTCTACCTTGTAGTAAGTGATATGACCATCATGTTTAAATGAAAAAGTAATTTTTTTATCACTTATGAGGTAATAAAAGAAGTGAAAAATAATAGAGATGATTTTTTTAAGGAGAAGAAACTTTGGACAGACAGATGATTATGAAAGATTACTGTCTGAGAAGCCTCCTCCTATTTTGTTATCCAACATCAAGATAGACATCTTCCTATTATATTCTTACACATATCTTTCTATTCTATTTACTAATACCAAGTTTATAATATGATCACCTAAGTCCACAAGATAGATCTATACAAATTTAAGATCGATAAACCATTTTTTTTCCCGTGAAAATGATGTTAGAAAAAACAAGGAAAAATAATATAAAGAATCAACAGAGAAACATACTGCCTTGCAGAGGCATCCGATTCTTCCAGAATACTTTTCACCATCGAAGCCTGCAAATTAAGATGGCATAACGTGTTCCATTTGCTTTCTGCTTTGTCTTTGTTGAAGGGTGCAAGACAAGGTTGCCGGTCGTACTTGAACTCTTCTCTCCTGACATCATCATGCAGTGCCAAAGCATTGGGAAAGAAGAGGAATTAGATTGCCATTTTGGATCATAATACTTGTTATTATGACTTCCAGGAAATGTTCTCTGCTTGTGGCTGTCTAATTCTTGTTGTAGAGTAATTGTTCTGTCCAATTGCTCTGAGAAGGAGATGTGGGCAACAATAATTGAGTCCCTGCCAAAAGAAAGAGAACAACAATGGAAATTGATGGGCACCCTTGTGATGGTTTAGCCAAGCTTGGAGAAGACAGATGCCAAGTATCTAATGAGAAGTAAAAGAAAGGAAACATGCAACTTTCCTGTTTGCTTAACTTCAGATCATCTCCATTTGAATTACCCAAAACACTTTAGAACAGTTGTTGATAAAGCTTATGAGCCTTCGAGGCAAACTTGTGGGTCATAGTATGATGATGTGGAATGTGTGTGTCGATCATCACAATAGTTGGTGACTCATCTGGTCAGCATTCGATGACAACATAAGCTGTATATGGTCAATCTACTTGCCTTCCATCTGTTTTGAGTTCCTTCCAAGTATGTTTGCAGCTCAATCTTATGTGATATCCTTTACCGTCTGAGCTTTTCCAATGGCGGATCACATACTAACTTCGAGCTCAGATGAGCGCAAGACTCCACTTCTCCCTCTCCATCAACCTCCACAGAGCTTAATCCACCCTTTCAGGTCACTTCTCACCTTGAAGAACTTGTTCATAGTCTCTGGGCCTCTCTCGTGCATGGTCGTATTCTTCTTCCTCGATCTCGGTGGCCGGACTTCGAGCCGCAACATGCTCGCGGTGCTCTCGTGGGTGTTCTTGTGGTGGATCAACGAGGCTGTGCCCATGGCCGTCACGTCCATGTCGCCGCTCTTCCTCTTCCCTCTCTTCGGACTTGCTTCCTCCAATGATGTCGCCAAATCGTACATGGACGACATCATCGCGCTCGTGCTCGGTAGCTTCATGCTCGCTTTGGCGGTCGAGCACTACAACATCCATCGCCGACTTGCTCTTAACGTAAGTTCATGAGAGCTGTCGTAGCTCATTCGAGTTGGATTTAGCTCATTCGACTTGCTCGCGCGGAGTGCAGATAACTTCGCTGTTCTGTGGAGATCCTCTGAACCCACCACTGCTGCTTCTTGGCATCTGCGGCACCACTGCGTTTGTGAGCATGTGGATGCACAACACCGCGGCGGCAGTCATGATGATGCCAGTAGCCACCGGGATCCTGCAGAGGTTGCCGGACGGAGATTCAGCGCAACCCGACGTGAAGAGGTTCTGCAAGGCAGTCGTCCTCGGAGTGATCTACTCGGCCACGATTGGGGGGATGAGCACCTTGACGGGCACAGGGGTCAACCTCATCTTGGTTGGGATGTGGGAGAGCTACTTCCCTCAGGAAGAGCAGATCAGCTTCAGCTCCTGGTTCTTCTTCGGGTTCCCTCTTGCTCTGCTTATCTTCTTCACCTTGTGGGGTATCCTCTGCCTCCTGTACTGGTCCAAGAACTCAGGGAAGGCACTTTCTGCTTACCTCGATCGAAATCACCTGAGAAGGGAACTTGAATTGTTAGGTGAGCCTTTGATTACCATAATCTAGTCTCGATCAGTTTGTATTCCTTGTATGATTTAGGATCACTGTGGCTGTTTTGCAGGCCCGATGGCATTCGCCGAGAAGATGGTCTTATTTATATTCAGTGTATGATTCTTTGTCACAAGAAACAAGAACAGATCAAGCAGTGCAATACATCTTACTCTTCTGCCGTGCGCAGTTGCTTGTAGTGTTGTGGATGACCAGGAGACTGACAAATGATGTTCCTGGGTGGGGTGCTCTGTTCCATGGGCGTGCTGGTGATGGAACTGTCAGGTAAGAACGCCCGAAGCAAGAAATGGAAGATGAAGTAGGGAAGATGAGAACTCACCACCTTTTCTGTCCCACACTGCAGGTGCTGATGGCCACCTTGTTGTTCATAATTCCCAACAAGAAGAACCAGGGAGAGATGCTGATGGACTGGAACAAGTGCAAGAAGTTGCCATGGAACATCATCCTCCTCGTCGGGACCGGCTTCGCGATCGCCGACGGCGTCCGGACCAGCGGCCTCACCGAGGTGATATCATCGAACCTCGACTTCCTGCGAGCAGCTCCGTACTTGGCAATCGCACCCCTCGCTTGCGTAATCAGCGCGACGATCACCGAGTTCACGTCCAACAACGCCACCACCACGCTTGTATTGCCGCTCCTCATCGAGCTGGCAGAGCCCATGAAGGTGCACCCTCTGCTGCTCATGGTGCCGGGAGCCATTGGCGCACAGTTCGCCTTCTTGCTTCCGACCAGCACTCCATCGAACGTCGTAGGATTCACGACCGGGCACATCAGAATCAAGGACATGATCAGCGCTGGGGCGCCATTAAAGGTTGCAGGCATTGCAGCTCTGTCTCTGCTTATGCCTACGTTAGGTGACGACTCTTCCTGGATCAGTGATTCGCTTACTTTTGTGTTACTGTCAGATGAGAACTGCTGCTGATAATTCAATCTTCATGGATGCAGGTTCATTTGTTTTCAAGACAAATAAGCAAGCATGAACATTTGTACTGTAAATATCTTATTTAGATGTTCACAAGAACAAGTGCATCACAATTGCGAGGAATTCATGCAAAGAAATGGAGATGAATGGCTCTCCTTCACGCTCATCTTATGTATGTCTGCTCTTGTGCAGTTCTACTGACATGATGTAGTCCCTTTCCTAAGTAAAATAACTCATACAAGCGTCCACGTCTAGACAAAAGGCAGTGTGGCCCATTAGCACAGATGACTCGCATGCTTATCTGCCACTCAGCAGCTCAGCGTGCAGAGACCAGTCAACAGACTCCAGACTTGAGCTTCCATTGTTTTGAATCCAGCAGCTTCCTGGAGGAAGAAGAGAGATGAGAGAAGCTTCACACATCCAGACCCAAAGTTTTCCTTTCCTTCCATTAGGTTGTTCCTGTATCCTCATAATCTATGAGCTCCACTGAAGAATCCAGTATATATATATATCCAACTTGCCTCGAACGCAAATTCTCATCAAGCTTCTTCTCCCAAGCCAGCTCCTACGACTCCAGAACTCCATTACGACCCATCACAAGGCCACCCTTGAGCTGCACACACTCACTCAAGCCGCAGCTTATCACCAACCTCCTCTTCATCCTGTGCACGTCCATATGTCTCGAGGTCGTACATGAACGACGTCATCTCCCTGATGCTTGGCAGCTTCATACTGGCGTTGGCTGTTGAACATTACATCATCCACCGTCGGCTGGCCTCGAATGTGAGTTCCGAGTTCGTCATGTTCTTCTTCGTTCGTCTAAGCTCCTTGCATACGAAATGAATGAGCACAGGTGACATTATTGTTTTGCGGGGATCCACTGAACCCCCCACTTGTGCTCCTGGGCGTCTGCGCCACGACCACGTTCGTTAGCATGTGGATGCATAACACGGCGGCGGCGGTGATGATGATGCCGGTGGGCACCGGCGTCCTGCAGTGGCTCCCGGAAGGAGACGCTGCGGTAAACCCCGCCGTGAACCAGTTCCGCAAGCTGGTGATACTGGGAGTGATTTACTACGCGGTCATAAGATGGATCAGCACGCTGACAGGCACAGATGTCAATCTCATAATGGTGGGGATGTGGGCGAGCTCATTCCCCGTGGAGACCCCATCAGCTTCAGCACATGGTTTCTCTTTGGTTTTCCTTGGCATTGGTGATCTTCTTCGCCCTATGGGCTCTGCTTTGCCCTCTTTTATCTTTCCATGGAATCCGACACTCTGCCCTCAGCCTCCTCGTGCCCCCTCTTCGTCGCCAAACGCAGGCAAGGAAGGAGGGGGGGGCGACTCACCCTCGCGGCCAGCGATGATGATGAGAGTCGATGGGCGGGCGGGGCGCTGACGAGCAGGGCGGCCACGTGTGAGGCGAAGGGGAGTTGCCTGCGGGGTGGAGGCGCGGCTAAGGTTGGGTAAGAACTTCTTAAAATGACGAGTGCAGAATCATCTTTCCATTGTGGGAATTTTCAATGCTCTCCGAGAAATTTCGGGAATTCGGCCGCTAAACTTGCTTCATTGGATTTCGCCGAAAAGATGATCTTGACAGTGTTTTCAGTAAGTGACCAAGCATTCATCAGAATCCTTCACGGAAATGGCGTAGGAACTGATACAGCTCGTCTGAATCCCTGTGCAGCTGCTGGTACTCCTGTGGATGATAAAATGATTCAGATGAGGTTGCTATCTGGAGATCTCTCTTCCATGGACATGTGGGTGATGGAACAGTCGGTGTAAGCCCCTGTCATGATGAAGCAATCGAGTGTGTAACAGGAATGGCTAATCCCAATCCATTTCTTCTTCGGTACAGGTGATGATGGCTACCGTTTTGTTCATAATCCCAAAGCAGAAAGCAAGAGGGGGAGAAACTTTATATTTGATCATCTCAACAGCATTATATTTCCAGGTCATGAGAAGCTTGAGAAACATCACCAGTTGACCAACTAACAATATTGTGCTAACAATTTACCATCTTTGGGCTTTTATAGTCAAGCCAAGCTCAAGTCAACTCCTCCAGAGAGCTTTAAAAAAAGAGTGCATAATAAATCTACACAAAATAATCAGCATCAAGATCACTTTATGTAACAGGAATACAGAAAAATCACTCTGCGAACATCCATTTGTAGAAATATGTAATTACCCAACTCTACTAACCATGCGACAAGGTATCCAAACCAGTAGCATATTCACAATAATCACAGTAGCCAAACGTCATGTGTCAGATTGAGTTCTTCCCTGAGAATGAATTCCATGCATCCATTCTGGTGATCACCTTCTGATTGTTCGGTCACACAAGTTATTCATATTACAATCGTACCTATCAAAATATATATAAAGAAACCACAATGCCATGGCAAATCACAACAATGTAACAGAAGATGACTATTTAATCCAAGTCTTGACAACTTCATTAATGCCATCAAACATATATTGTTTGACAGGACCACTATCATCTAAATTGAAAATTATCAAGGTTTGGGAGAACAAACCTCCACCAAAAAATTGTAATGAGAATCTCCCTCAACAGAACTTATTGAAATTAAAAAAAAAATGCCATCCAGATTTGCATCTGGTTTAGAGAAAATTGGTTTTCAATTTCATAAAATATTATGTGTATCCTTAAGCACCACCTGAACCATACTTCTTTCCAAAAAGAACGAGCTGAAGTTTGTCATAACCAGCAAGCACACCTGCACCAGCAACTGCACGGAGAATATTAGCACCTGCACCCTTGAATAATGATTTGGCTCCCTCATTCTTCAGGATCTGGGAGAAAGCATCTAAAGAGCTCTTGTACTTGACAGCTTCTCCAGATGTCATCATCATTCTTCTCCTAACAGTATCAATGGGATAAGATGCAAGTCCAGCACCATTTGTGATCAACCAACCCAAGGCAAAGCTTGCAAAGAAACTATCCTGCATTTGCAAATAAAGGCGAATCAGTTGTCAGCAAAGATACAATTTTAAATGCAGTAGGAGGACAAACAGAAAACCAAAACTGATGGAAGATTTAAAACTGTCATTAAACTGGAATCACTTAGTTTCATGTTTTTGGAGCCATGTAATTACAACTTTCAAAATTCAAACAAAAGTTCTCCAACTGATACAGAGACAAGTAGCAATTATATCCAAAACCTTATATCCATGTCGATTACTTTCATTTATGAAATTTAAGAACCAAAGTGCTCAAAACCAATATTTATATCGAGCACGAAATGAAACATGGGAGCTGGTAGAATATGCAGAAAGCTAGAGATACAGACCTGTAGCTTTCCTGTGAGAAGCACTGGCTTTAGAGAATCATACATTCCAAAGTAAAGACCACGATATACTATGATCCCAACACATGAAATGTTAAATCCTCTGTAAAGTCCAGCAACACCATCTGACTGCAATGTCTTACGGTACACATCAACAAGGCCATTGAATTGCCTTTCACCACCCGTCTTTGCTGCCTTTGCATCATTTGCCAAACGAGTACGAGCATAGTCCAAAGAATACACAAAAAGCAGAGAAGAAGCACCGGCTGCACCACCTGAAGCAAGGTTGCCTGCAAACCATTTCCAGTACCCATCTTTGTCTTTCTTGAAGTTAAACATCCTCTTGAAGTAGTCCTTAAATGCAAAGTTCAAAGCCTGGCAAGTAATAGTCTTTGTAAGTACAATTATTAACATGACAAAAAGCAAAGATTAGTACACAATCTGCATGTTATTTCAAAGAGTAACAAAATCAACGACGACACAAATCTGCTTTTCTCCTAGCTCAAAGTATTTTGCAGAATCTCCAGACTTTTGTTTTCTAATGAAGTTGAATAGCAAAAAAAGGAATTAAACTAACATATAAAAAGATTTAACAATCTCAAACAGTGACACTAAGAAAGAAAGGGAACACCTAAAAAATCAATCACGTTAATGCAAATGCTTCAACCTCACTTGGTTGGTTGTGCCAAACCACTGCTAGCATATTGCTTTATCAAATGTAAATCTCAATCTACATTCAAACACCAACAATTCAGTAAAACACAGAAAGGACACATGAAATGCACTGCCAGAAGAGCTTCACCATGGAGCTCAAGGTTAAATTACATATTAAATCTACAGGCTACATGACAAATCTAAAGAAATGATGTGTGCCCAAAGCTCCAACAGTTAATAACCTGTAAACTTGCAAAAATAAGAAGGCACAGAATTGAACTTGACTTAAACCTAGAGAATGTAAACCATTTAGATCATGCTTAATGACACTAGTAGTCTATACATCATGCTTTCTGAGGAACTCTCCCCTGCTGAATTAAAAGAACATGATATGACAGCACCAACACACAGAACTTACCTGAGTGGGAAAATAACGAATGACATTAGCTGTATTCCCTCTCCATAGAGATCCAACACCCTCATCTCTGATTGTTCGGGCAAAGCAATCAGTAATTCCTTTGTAAGGTTCAGAGAGACGACCAGTCTTGATCATCTCATCTTGGTTCTGGATCAGTAGTTTCACACGTTCAATTGGAGCAGCAGCAGTCTTGGAAACCGCAGCAGAAACTCCACCCATAAGGAAGTCTATAGCAAAGCTTGCAAAACCTTTTTCGGCAGGAGCATTGGCAAAAACAGGTGAGACAGATGTTACAGTGGGTATTCCACAGTGCATGTATGGTTTCTGAAAATCCTGATTAATAAAGTTTCCTGTTGTAATGCGCCTCTCATACAAAGAGGGGCCATAGAAGCTGCGATTCCGAGCATGTAGATCTTGTGAAAAGTAGGATCTAAGATGGAACTGGCCTGCAACCTTCTGGCTCACTGTTGGGTGGGTAACCTGATCTGCCATTACTTCCTAAAAGAATATAGAGAAGAATCTATTAGTTCAGAGGAACATTTTTCAAGATTCAAATAATTTATTATTCCAGAAGTCCAATCATAAAAACACAACATGAACAACCAACTCAGTTAAATAGGAAGAACAATTAAGAATTATTAATGTCTGGTTTGCTGGTGGAATTAACATGAATAAGTTAATAACATTGCCACGAGATCAAATAAATATAAAAATGAAGAACTGTCATCTGTGAATAATTAAATGTCTCCCCTATTTGATCTAGATTAAGACAAAAAGTAGACCAGACCTGTGAATCACAAAATAAACAGCAACCTGTTGTTACTCCACCAGTCAACTAACTGAAAGAATGAATTGGCTAGTTGAAAAACATAGCCAAGGCATCTTTTTTCCACATTGCTACCGCAACTTCAGTGTCACTCAATTAGGGTTATGGTTTTAGTTTTTTATTTCTGCTTTGTGTTCCCTTGGGAACTCCAATTTGTCAGTGGATATCCTGCTGAACGCATCTTTCACCATTGATGATGCCAGAGAGGTTGCCTCAACCAAGAACCCCTGGATTGTAAATAATCCTCGTAGCAGATGGCCAAACTTTTTCTATGTTAATGAGATGAGGAATTTTCAACTTATGGCTGATCTTATTAGAGAGGGATCCTGGGATATGCATTTCCTTAGGAATGGAAGGCAATGTGGAGCTCAAATGCACTGCACAAAGGTTCTTTTGTGGAAACTCTTTTAAAGAAGGTTCTCAACTTCCGAGCAATCCTCAAAGGTTCTTCGCTGCTATCCCAACAACTTCCCAGACGGATTTCACCGATCATATTTATTTTCAGTTTAGGGAAGGGTGGCTACAGGGAGATCGGCATAAGAGGGTTTTCCCCTGGACAAGGAGTCTTCAAGCATAATCAGGGCTATTATTGTAAATTCCCTGTGGTTGATTTGGAAAGACAGGAATAATAGTCTCCCACCTAGTGTCATCTGGTACATATCCAAGCTTTCTCTTACAAAAAAGACAGACTGTGCAATCTGAGAGTCCAAGGCTAATAATGTCTTACAATCCATCAAATATGCCCCATTACAGGGCTATTCTTTGTTTAGATTGTCAAGGCTCATTTTCCTCTAATCTTGAACGTGCAGGTTTAGGCTGTGGTACAGAAAGCCCAAGGGGTGATAGTTGCTACTGATTGTGCAATGCACGTCGCTTCTGATGCCCTACAAAGGGAGTGCTGAAGCACTTGGGAGGGAGGGATTTCAGAGGGTGAAGCAGGAAGGATTAAGAGGTCTGGGTGCGCATTGATGTTTTAAAGATTGTCCAGATTTTCAACAAGAGTTCCAAAATCCCATGGCACATTGATGTGGATAAAGTATAGATACAGATCCAATAATCTTTATATATTTAAAAGGAAAATCCTACGACAATTAGGATTGGCTAGATAAACGTTGATCATACAGCCTACAGAGTGAAACGACTAAGGCGAGATCCGAAAACCAAAATCAAACCCTAGAAATCCACCAGCCCAGAAGGGCTCCCGAGAGGCAAAACCTGATTAAAGAATCAGATCATGAGGGGGAGAACTCATTCAGAAAGGAAAACGAAGATCTTAAACGTGAGATCTTTCCTTCCATCAGATCAATCAATTTTAAGACCAGGAAACATCAAACCAAAATCCTGCAAGTATGATCCTAAAGCTAAAATCTGTAGATATCAAATACCCATCTTTCGGATATGCACAAATGTGTCAGATCCGGCAGGAATGGACCAAAAAACAAGCGCAGAAGGACAACAAGTGAAAAACTCGCTGCTTTTCCCACTCGATTGCTGAATTAAAAATCACGAACCATTCATCTGCCGTAAAGCAGAAAAAGGAAGAAGCAAACCACATCGAAACGCCGCAATGATCACCAATCCGAGAAGATCGATGACCAACTACCATAACCATTCGAACGGTACTAATCGAGAAGCAAGAAACCGAGGAGAGATCAAGGATTTACCGTCGTTGGGAAGCGTGATCGATCTCGCTTTCTCGCTCTTCTTCCGTAGCGCTCTACGACTCCCACTTTATAGGAGGCAAAAGAGAATTATGCGGGGCTAACTCGAGAGGTGGGAACGAAAAGGTTGACTCACGCATAAAATTTTATATGCGATACGAATCGTCACCGTATGTATCTGCACGTGGATGGCGAGTAACGGTCAAATCTTGCAACAACTGACAATTTGTCTACGAACATCTATTTTGACTTCGCTTTTAGAATTTTGTTTCCAAATATACCCCCAACCATCCTGTTATTTCCAGGTAGACCTGACATGGTTAATGATGGGCTTTAAGTGGGCTTCCTTCACTCAGTGGGTTCAGTGGGCTTACCAGTTGGATAAGGGGAGATGGAGTAGAGGAGGCCGCGGTCGGCGCCGACGAGGAAGCTGGAGACGAGGAGGGCGCCCGCGACGAGGGCTGCCACCGCGGCCGCCGCGAACAGGGGCTTCTGAGGGAACGCCCGCATCGCTTCCCCTCGGCGATGGATGTTCACGGAGAAAGCAAAGCTATCGCTGCACTCGCTCGTCTTTTCCCCTTAGCCCATATCACATGGATGGTGGCTTCCTTTCATGACAGTAGAAGAAAGGAAATGTGATGTATAAGATATATTTAGTATTATAATGCAAATCCCTTGAAGCACACTTAAATCTCATCCGGAGTTGGCAAACTAAACTCGTAAGAACTTTGACATGCCATCGTAAGATATTGCTCAAATCTCACCTTCATCATTTATCTTTAAAAAGATCTTTTAAGATAGGATTAAGAAAAAGATGACAGTAAAAGGCTTTCAGTAAGATATTTGTCACTATTTGAAAATGCATGTATAAATAAATATATGGGGGCCATCACAAAGATTAGTGGACAGTGCCACCAACAGATGATTTGGGGAGTGCAACCTCTTGGACTACAGTTTCATCATTCTATGAAGAGACTGAAGGTTGCATCTAAATCCTCACATCTGATATAACCAAGCCATAATGTAATGTAGCAAAGATGTGCCAAGTGCTTCAAAGTGCAGCAGCAGAAGGAAAAGTGAGTCTAACAAAGAAAAGGCAAAGGTGAAAAAAGAGTGAAACAGGAAACAGAGTCCAATGATTAAAGGATGAAGACTGTTAAATCCTTCTTTTCAGTCCGAGGATGCCTTATGCTTGCTGATGACTTTGAAGACAAAGCTCACTTTGGAGATTGCAGCAAAGACTACCACATATATTTTGCAGGGAAAAGGAGGATTTCATCAGTCCTTTGGATGCAACTTGTTCTTCAAGTGGGTGTTTATTCTTGGCAACAAAGATGCCTTTGGAGTGGAATGCTGCATAAAGCTGGAGGTGAGAATGTTGTGTTTTTTAATACAACAATTCTTGGAATATATAGAGATATTCCAAGAAAAATCTAAATATGTTGGAGTCATCCTACTCAGATATTAGCTTGAGTAATAATTACAAAGGAAATAGGGAAGATAAGAATGTTGATATATTTCATAGGGAAGATAAGTTGACTCTAGACCAAGGCCAACAATCCTAGTCAGTAGTCATCGATATCTTTTCCTAAAATTGATTATTATTAGTTTTATATAATTTATGTCTATCCACAATGGTCACTCGATCATAAATTAATTATGCACTTCATCTGTCTAAATTAATTATCACAAATCATCATCAAGTTATATTACATGAATTATGATCCCCAAATAGAGACCTCACATCATATTGGCCATATAGTACAATCGGTATGGTGCCGAGCTTGGCTTTTCAAGCACTGTACGATAACTAAGCCACACTAAGCTTTTATTCCACAATAATGGCTGTGTCACCATCAAACACAGACAACACATCATCTCCATGTGAGGGAACAAAGGGAATCATCACAAGAGGCTATATTTTTCGTTTACGGAGTGCCGAACTCCAATCATTGTGAAGGCCAAGCTCTGATGGATGCCTCATTGGAGGTGGAGCAACGCGGCTTCTTGCTATCACAAGCATGACGAAACAAGATGCTGTCGGAATTCGCTGCGTGTTTGGATTACCATGACACATTTGCGGCATTATTTTGTAAGTAAGATGCAATCAATGGGTGTTGGATCAATCATAGTCGCTTGATTTGACCAACCATCCATTATAGAGGCATGAATCATCAGAAGGGACATGGAGAGCTCTCAGACCATTCATCACCTCCGATTCTGCAAGGAATTTGATATCTTGAGGAACTCGGCTGCTGTGGGTGATGAGGTGAAGGTGTGATGAACTTGATTAAAACCCAACATTCTCATCAGACTTTCTGTGATAGATTCAATGGTCTACACAACTTCTACCACAAATTCAAACGTAGCACTTCAAAATAGTCTCATACGAAATATATATATACACATACATATATATATATATATATACACACATATATATATATATATACTTAATAAATTAAATTAACTCGTTACAATAAAACACTTGAGGCATCGGAGTGTAACAAAAAAACTTAAACGAGAGGTACACGATTAAAATATTTAGGTTAAAGTCTATTTAGTCCATGTGATTTTAGTTAATCATGCACTTTAAGTCCTTATAGTTTATTCGGATCTAAAATAATCTATATATTTTTAAAAATATAGTATAAAAGCTCCTCCTGTCAAGTTTGAGTTAACATATATTAGAGTCTATTTACGTGACATGCTAACTCACAATAAATCATTAATATAATGATACATGTAATTTAAGTTTTTTTAAAAAAGCTGATGATCAGTGGATTTGAAAACGTGGATCGATTATCTTATCAATTTCCTTCAAAAAGAGCATTTCCATGATCTGACGGGCGGTGCGTTAGCCTTGTCTTGACATCCGTTGTAGAGAGAGGAGCCTCTTAGCACCTATGATGACTAAGGCCACAATGGAGAGCCGATCTCCTAGGCCCAAAGAGAAAACTACTTGCCGCATTGCGCGCTTTAACATCCAAATTTTCTCCCCTGCCATGCTTTAGCTAACGTCCAACATCGTCACCAAATCAATCGAGGTGTAGAGAGGGGTGAGGGATCTTATCGGAGGCACTTTCACCTTAAGAGCCACAATATAGCTTTGGTGCCTCCGCTCTTTCGAGAGCAGAGCTGCTTGTGAAATCACACTCGTAAGGATGCCATCAGCCCTGGACCTCGGTGTCGACTGACGAAGGACTACTCTATCAATGTGACTGGCAAATCAGGCGCAAGAGGGAACTCGTCCTCCATCTCCTCATTATCGCGGTAAGCTTTGTTATCTTTGTCCTCATTGGCTGCTTTTGGTATAGGATTGAATTGCACACTCTCTCTCTGGTTGGGCTTCGACATAAACAGAAGTGGCTTGTCATCATTATAAACTTTAGTAGCAACTGGAATAGTGGCGACTGTAGCCACTATGTTCTCCCCTAGTTGTCATTCCTCACCTTTACTATTATTCTGACTATCATCGTTGGTAGTTCTCCTATTCGGGTTTTAGTTTTTCATCTCTCACAACGTCCCTTACTCGACAGCAAGTGCATTATCTTCTCGACGATAAAGTGTGGAGAGGAAGGACGCATGGCGCCAAGAGACATAGTAGATGGGGCAAGCAAGATTGGTGTGTCTCTTGATATGGGCGATAATATAAGAAAAGTGGAAAGTGTGAGAGTACTTCGCCGTGAAGACTGATGTCTCCTAGCTCATCTTGATGTTTTTAACTTATCTCATCTCCTACAGGGTTGATTAGCTCATCTCCGAAGAAATCACCATCGCAATTCAGCATCACCCTAACACAAGTCCTCTCCTACATATTGCCATCAAAACCCACAACCAAAAAAGATGTTGGAAATAAATATTTTAAAATTATTAAACAAAGTCCCATTGCGAGTTCTCCAAACCCGTAACAAGGACGACCACCCGCAAATCCACATTACCATCTACTCGAGCTCCTCCTACATCAATCCATTCACCCGTACACCACCGTGTAGGATTGGGGAGATTAAGATTAAATTTTTTTGCTCATCAACTGTAGAAAAAGAAAAAAACTTAAAAGTGGCACAAGAAGCAATGCTCTATAGAGTCACTCCTAGCTCAGGAAACACAAAAGAGATGTGGCAGTAAAAAGCCTTTAACATAATATCTTAATATGAGATGTCAAGGGTAATTTTCACAAATGGTCCCACAAGTTCCTCCTAGGAATCGAATCACGAAAACAAAGGTATTTAGTGAAGAATGACTTCTTCTTTTTCTTGTTTGTTTGAGTGACGAAAACAAGTTTCTCCTCCTCCTGGCTGGCAAGTATATAAGATCACTGTCATGGCCCCCTCCAAACACGAAAATTAGTACATTAGGTACAATTTGGTTTGAAATAACTATGCCACTACAAGATATTTTTTGTTTGAAATCATCCTCTAACCTTTCTCTATATAGATGAGGGGGTTATGATGTACGAGGGTGTGTAGAAATTATATAGAGTGAAAAATGTAACTAAATAGTATAAAGACTCTCCTTCACCACCCTCTCAATCAACCACTACTCCCTTTTATTTTACAACTTATTCAATGTACTAAGGGATGAGAAAGAGACTAATGTTTTAAACCCCTAACTTAAGATAGGTAAATGAGGTTCATCACTAATGTTTAAGTATACTTTATTAGACTTATCACTACGTTTATACAATGCTAAACAACCTACAATGTTATAAGATTTCCAATAGCAATAGGATAATTGATGCTACAATAGTTGCTCCCGGGAGCAATAAGTGTAGCAGATAATGTCACTCTCATGACAATGACTTCCAGCATTTACAGTTCCATCTCTCAGAATAACCAATTGAGTGTTCATCTGCATTAAAACATCTATTTAAGTATAAGAAGATTACACGACACCACTCATGTGTATATATGTACAAGTTGATACATGTATGCGTGCTTGCTTAGATCTATGGCCTACATGAACCTAATCATTGAATTCCCCAGTGCATGGAAATGTTGAACACTGAATAATGGTATTGTGCAAACGGATAACAACAAAAACTTTAACAAGGATTGTCCTCGTCACCTCAATTGATTATATGATCATAGAAAACCCTCAATAAACATGTTTTGAGGATCTTAAGCATGATCATCACAGGCCAAGTAAGCCTAAGTTGGATCTTCAGGTGCTTTAATTTAATGCTTCCATGCATGGAAGGGGGGACGTAGATTTGCATGGACTTGTACAAACTACGAGAAGATGAGAGGGGTTAATTAGAAGACACTGAGCTCATGAAATCGAAAGAAAAGGTGGTGGAGTAGCATTGGGATGGGAGTTATATTAATACATCGGTAGGTTCCAGGCCGACCGTGGCTCGACCGTCAAAGGAAATGCCGGACTGTAGCAAGCACACGAGGAGTAACGTTGTGAATCGCACTTGTAAGAGTTACAAAGAAACGTACAAGAAGAAACCTACAAAGCAAGACCAAAACCACCCCTCTCTCTCTCTCTCTGATATTAATCTTACTGGGTGGAAACAGCATCTAGGCCAAAAGTCTCACTGCTTGTCTTTGGCCTAAGATTCTCTTAAAGTTTCCTTTTCTCCTATTTGATTGTTGTGACTTGGTGTTGTGACTTGTCAATGGAGACAAGCCTACGTAACATTAATTATAAATTTAAATTATAGAGGTAAGTTTTAGTAACTAAGGTTTTAGATTAATTAGGATTAAGATTGAATATATAAAATATGATTTTAAAAATTTTAAAAATAAATTAGAGAATATAATTAAGTTAGATGGATGAAAAGTTAGTTTAAGCAAAATATTTAGGTATCTTGAATCAATTATTATTTATAAAGTAAAAATAAGATGATTAGAAGTTTTGTATGATCATCGGATATTTTTAAGATTAAAAAATTATATAATAATTATGAGATTAATAATATTTTGTGGATGTGAGTATAAATAATTAAAATTAACATATATAAAAATTTATTTTTCTAAAATGAGAATGTTGATATATATGTGAAAGTTAAAAAAATAAATATTTTTATTTATGAAAAACTAAGTATCATTTTGATAGAGGATATATGACAGAAAATCATTTAAGATATATAGACATATGCTCAGATACAATAGTCAAATATTAGTAATACAAGAAACAATAAAAAGAAAGCTTAAAAAATTTTAATAGAGATTATAAATAAGAATTAAAATAGCAAAAGATTCATGTAGTTGATCAAATAATTAAGATTTATTATTTTATTATTATTATTATTATAGTAAAAGAGTTTTGTATATTGACTTCTTATCCTCCAATAAGAATTGCTTATGATTGTCGCCAAGCTTATACATCGCGGCTCTTATATCACTTCTCTCCCGCAGTCCCTACCGTTGTCTGGCAGGTAGTTCCTCTCCTTCTCTTTGGTTTCATGAATTGTTCTTTGTTTGATGTTTTACTGTCTAGTCTTCTTCTGATTTTGTGATCATCTGTAGATCTTGGTGGCTTAGAACTTGTTCCTTCTCTGTGTGTCTCGCTTCGTTCTACTCTCTGTGAGCATCCCTAACCATGGCAGATCACTACACTAATTTCTTCGAGGCTTTCCTCAGCAACAATACTTTCTCCTCCTCCACCCCATCCTCTCCGGCAGTTGCCACCACCTACGGCTTCTCCCACGGCCACACCAGTTCTCCTCCTGTGAGAGAGGCCCTCCCTCTCCTCAGGCTGAGTCCCACAAGGCACCCAGGGGAGGACAACACCTCTTGCAGCGTGTTTGATGAAGGTGGAAAGGACGAGGCCATGTGCATCGATGGCGAAGCTGATGCTGCGGTTATCGCTCTCCACTTAGGCCCTCCAAGCCCCGGTGCAGTTGATCTAATATCAAGAAACTCTTCGGAGGCTGATACTGAACAAAAAGGAGGAGGAGGAGGAGGAGGTGATGGTGATGTGGTTCCCTTAGGTTACCCTTCCAATCCCATAGGAAGGATCAACAAGGGACAGTATTGGATTCCCACCCCATATCAGATCCTCATTGGTCCAATCCAGTTCTCTTGCCCGGTGTGCAGTAAATCTTTCAATAGGTACAACAACTTGCAGGTAATCTTTTCTGCCTTCCTCTTCGGTTCTTCAAATCACTTCTGTTGATTTCTGATCTTCGTTTTAAGCTATTCCCTTTGCACTCATCATTGTCCCAAGTCTGGCCTAACCGAGACTGGGATGGATACTGTATGCCTCGTCTACTTTTTATGTGATGGAACTACACGCAACCTATGTTCCGATTCATGCTTTTTGTGCTTTTTGGAGTTTGTTGACATATACATACATATATTGTGCGTTGGGAGTTGCAGCAACACTGAAAAGATCTCAAGTCCTTTCAGGGTACCTTCGGTTCATACATAGAGAAGGATAAAATCTTCTGCACCCAAAGTGCACTGTATCAGGAAATCGAGGTCCTTGTGTCTTCTGACCTTAGATTTATATGGGCTTTGTCTCGAAAATAAGAGAGAGAGGATCTCTCTGTGGGTGTGTGTGATAACTCATGCAGTGAGTCTTTTCCTTCGTTTCTTAGATTTCATCTATTGAGTTCTTTGACCGGCGGCAACCCAACTTGCCAATAGGACAAGCTCAACAGCGTAGTGTCAGAAGATGATAGCAGGTTTTCATCAGTACAATTCTTCCAGAGGCCCCTCCCTCGTGGCAGGAAGAATAATTCTAACCTTCATACGCTGAAGACCGAGTTCAAGATTGTCAAGCAACGATAATGACCTAAAATTTGATTCCTCTTCTTTCTATACCCTTAGAAAAGATGAAGTAGAACTCTCCTCATTTCATGTTTGTAACTATCGCCAGAAGATATTGCACAAAGATAGCTAAATTGATAGTGGTGTTTCAATGGCAACAGATGCATATGTGGGGACATGGATCACAGTACAGGAAGGGACCAGAGTCGCTAAGAGGCATCCAGCCGACGGCGATGTTACGGCTTCCATGCTACTGCTGCGCGCCCGGTTGCCAGAACAACATCGACCATCCGAGATCGAAGCCACTGAAGGACTTCAGGACCCTCCAAACTCACTTCAAAAGGAAGCACGGAATCAAGCCCTTCGTGTGCCGGAAATGCGGCAAGGCCCTCGCGGTTCGCGGCGACTGGCGGACCCATGAGAAGAACTGCGGGAAGCTGTGGTACTGCATCTGTGGCTCCGACTTCAAGCACAAGAGGTCGCTCAAGGATCACATCAAGTCCTTCGGCCGGGGCCACGCGCCAGTCGGCGCCGACTGCTTCGAGGACGACGACGAGCCCCTGTCCGAGATCGAACAAGACTCTCTACAAGCTCACAAGGGGAGGTAATATGGCCAATGCATAATTCCTTGTAAGCGGAGAGTCATCTCAGCATCTCTTCACGCTTACTAATAACTCTCATAGATCAATGGAAATGTGTTGTTCTTATGCTGTCAGGTTAGCTATGGATCTCCTTTCTTTCCTGTAGTTCACTTTAGGCTTATATGCAAGGTAGTGTTTTCTGGCTGTTGTTACGATCTTTTCGAGTTATCTCTCAAAAAAGGGAAACAAGCTATTGCTTCTTGTTTCGGTTTGCTTGTAGTGAAAGATAACCAAGGGCATGCTTGATCTGTTGCTCTCTGAAAGATCCTCTACTTTAAGCTTCTCAGGCAGGCAGAAATCTTTTAGGAACGCATGGATCTTTCTTTTCACCAATACTGTGCCCTCATTCTTCCTTTTCTATGATCTGTCATGCCTGTCAAACCAGTGGGGTTGCTGTTTGATAGTCTTCTTAGATGCTGCGAACAACACAGCTTTTAGGGTAATTCCATTGTGGGTTTATTGAGGGTGGTACAATATGTTTACATCAAATAATAAACATAATACCTTCTACTTTTTTCTTGGAATTCTCCAGAGCACTAGGATGTGTGCAGTCCTGGAATTCCTAGTAGCAGCACATATCCTAACATCCAATGTAGATAGTATGTGCTGTAAACATATGTCAAACCTTTGAGGTATGCATGCATGTCTCCTTATCAATATATCCATCTTGGAGCGAATAACTCGAGACAGACATGGAGTTGACATGAAGATTGCCCACACGAGGACAATGAATATTTATTGTCTCCTGTATGGTGGTGGAGGTGCAGGTTGAAATCCCAAAGAACTTGCGATAAATTTTGTCCTGTTAAATGTTTGTGCCTTTCTCCGGTCCAATGCGATGAGCTTGTCATGGGGACAGAAGGCTCTTCTCGGAATGTATCTTCGCCTTTCCTGTTCCTTCTCCACATGGAGACAGCTTTGTCTCCCCTAAGCGGAAACACTAGGCCTAGGTTTGGTCTCATTTCCTCAGGCATCTCTACAAGACAACTTTGCAGATATCTTGCATGGCTGCTTCGACAAAATAACATCTCTAAAACCGATTAATGAGCAAAGTATTAGAATACAAACGCAAAGAACTGAGAACATTCGGATATAAACAGCTCTGATCAGAGAGAGAAGAATGGCAGCTGTGGAAGTTCAAGAAGCCATCGGATGGAAATGTGAGAACGTAGTCATATTATGAAAGATGTAGGCAACTCCCGAGAAAGGAAGAGAAGAAAGGAGTGGCGAGGAGAGAAAGGCCACCAAACTACAGGGTGCAAAGCTTTGGAAGCTGTGGAGAAGCTTCAAGTTGGTTGGGGGTTGCGTCTCTTTTACCGGGGGAATAAGAGGAGACTCTCGAGGGGCTTGAGGGAGAAGACAGGGACGGAACATGTGTTCAAAGACAAAAAGATGTCTCCCAGGGTGACAAAAGAGCATTTATGTGCTGATGCTTTACTGTGACCAGAGGACGGAACATGATGATGATGATGGACTCGACTTCCCTCGCTAGAATTCTCGTGGAACATCAAAAAGAGCACGCACACGGTAAGTCCAGAAGAAGGCAACACACACACACACACACACATGAACACTTCCACTGTTCAACCTCACAGGAGGTAAGAATGTTAAAACATAAACAAATTGAGAATAGAATAGGAGTGATGGAAAGATTCAGTTGCCTTCTTCTTGTACTGAGAATTTTTCTCTCTCATCTTCTGAAGATCCTGGAGTCATTTCATTGAAGGGATGTGTCTATAGTTCATATTTCATCGACTAATTCTTTCTAATGAACATCTTTGTTGAAGAAATATCTTTTTAGTCTAACTAGTTTGATTTAAACTCATGTTAATATTGTGTTAGAGCTAATGATTGATGAAAGATTAAAATTGCACCGGGTGGATAAATTGAGTGAAACAAAAAGCTAGATGAATCCATTTGACTACAGCCAACTTATATGTATAAAGATTGAAAAATGACTAATAATTGTCCTGCACTATTAAGCATCAAAAGAGAGGGAGGATTTATATGTTTAAGTTTGACCAACAAATTAATCATTTAAATATTTATATGTGAGACAAAGGTCAATAAGAACTATTTAAGTATCGAAGGAGTCTGATGATATATATTAGGTTTGATTCATAATTTAATAATTTATCCTTTCGAGTTATATTAATGTCCTAATTACTTTATTAAACACAAGCTAAATATTTTCATAATTTTATGTAATTCAAATATAAGAATATTATTTGACGACCAAAAATGAGTAAAAGATTTTTCTTCTCTTTTTCTCCAAAAGATCTCCAAAGAAACAACTCTCATTCAAAAACTGGCTTGAATAATATATGCATGGCTACAAAGGCAATATTAGCATCACAAAAATAAGGAAAACATACTCTACATAGAAAATAAAATACACTCAAACAACATCACAGAAAGATGTAACTCTAAACTCTATGAATCATAGCACAATTTAGGAGCTCATGAGAGGATCATGTTTCTTGGATTTGCACTACTTCTCTGGTAAACAAAAGAAAAAGAAAAGGTGATCTTACTTTAAGCAAGAATAATATTTTGTTCATAAGGATTAGTAGCTGGCAAAAATGCATGCCTGCCTTTAAAGTTCTCTCACTTGTTCATAAGGAGAATCCTTGATGAGGAACAATTCCAAGTTCTGGATTACTCATCTATATGACAGCAAATTGTATCTTCACCCCTCCATTTTTCTAACAATGTCTAACCATTCATTCTATTGCAGATAGCATGTTCATTTAGGATGAGAATGAAGAGAGAGGGAGAGAGATAGACACTGCAAGTTCATGTAACAGCTGATTCAAGGTTTCTTCTTTTTGTCTGGAATTACATCTACCCTTTCTTGCCTTCTTCAGTAATGGCTTTTCTCCACTTTTCATAGCATCATGAAAGAAATCTAGTTGATGTTTCCATTTACCAAATGCAAAAGAAACTTGGCAGTAAGTCTGGAAAAGAAATATACCTCCTCATCATTGGATGTGGTCCAGAGAAAGGGAAATATCACCCCCTGGATGAGTGATTGGATTCTGGTGCCATTTAGATTCTTGTTGTTGGTGGGACCAGAATAGCTCATCAATTGCACAATTAGGACCATCTGATCAATTTCACATGGGTTCTGCTGTGCGGTCAGGATTTGTCTGGATCAAGGACAGCATGTTTCAGCTTGGACTGTCCTGATCCCCCTACCAGTCTCACTTGGTCAAGAAATGAAGCCATGTACCCAACACTATGGTTTTGCTGTTCTTTTTTGATTCAAACATTAAAAAGGAGGAGGAGTCTATGTAAAAATTTTGTGTGGAAATTTAGGAAACACAAAATAAAAACAAGATAAGTAGAACTGCTGAACAAGTCATTGCTCAGAACCTTATCCTTTTCTTTTCTGATGCTGGTTTCTGATTTCTTGAAAGACACTCTGAAGAAGGGGGAAAAAAGAAGATTACTGTGGGATAAAATGATTGGAAGAAGGGATGTGAAAAGTAGATTTGGGAGTTATTTTCTGCACTCCATGTAACTCTGCAAGGAGGAATAAAAAGAATCAGTTTTGCCTCTGTCATCTGAGTCTGCTTGTCTGATGAGCATAGTTTACAGTGGCAGGAAATGAAGCACCAGATGTTCAATGCAGATGCTGCTCCTTTGTCAGCATGGAGCACTTCAGAGCCTCATAAAGCCTGTTCTAATTCTGGGTTGGTACCTGACATATTCCTACAGGATTTCTTTGATGGTACTAATCATATCATTTCCGAGATCTTTTGTATGTTCTTCTTGCACTTATTTCATTAGCAAACACAACTAGAAGTCATGAAAGAAGGTGTTAGATGAACTAAGTATTGCAAACAGAGGATTAGTTGCACATATTTATCAGCATAGGATAAAAAATGATAGTTAAATTTTAAACGACAGATCCAAATAGGAAAAAAAAGGCTATACCATGGAAAGTAATTTTACTAGTCAACAGTTGCAGATGTCAAAGATTTCTGAACATGATGAACTAATGAATACAATCTAGGCATGACTGATTAAAGGGAAGCTCACATCACAATTGTTCATGATAATTTTCGATCTTTACTCATATCATGCTTCCAGAAATCTTTCAATTTTTCATGAACAAGGCCATCAAAATGATGCACCTACAAGCTTTTCCTTGAGTATCAAGTAACCTAATTCTTGAGATTGCTGAAAACTTGAAGCTAGAGTGAAAGTTTTGGTAATAACATGGAATGAAAATGTTGAGATGATGTACAAATCACCACACTTGTTTGCTAAATTTGATTACCAACTGAAGTACAAAAGTGCAAACTAACTCCGCCTCCATACAGAGGAGGAAATGCTAGTGTTTTATTGAAGATAAGCGAACCAGATAAAATAAGCATATCTCACCTGATTGTTTAGTAGTGTAATTGGAAAGGCTTGTCACATGAAAAATGAAGTATTTATTTTTCTTCAGCTGTGAATAGCAGCAAGAGATTTGAAGAAGATTCTAAATATAACAGCACCACCTACATGGTGGAGAAAGAGAGAGTGGGTTTATATCGATCTCATCAGTAAGAGTTCCTCATGTCATTTCAGTAACTATTAACTTGAGGAGCATCTTACTTGATACTTCTGCCATGTCTTCCTAATACATTACTGTTTCTACCTATTTAGTGGTCAATGTAACTCATTAAGCTTAGTGTATATGCAACAAAGCAGCTTAGTAAATAAAAAAGATGACAAATTAGTTATCCTTTCCTCTTTACATGGCCTTATTGGTTCACTTTAGCTTCAGGTACTTTATCTTCCAGTAAAATCTAGTTTCTACAGACAAGGAATGAGTGTCATGATGAAGTGTTGTTGGGAACTCATTGCCCATTGAAGAACCCAAAAGATCTTAAATAAGATGATTGGACTTCCAACATAAATCATATGTGAATTACTTTGAAGCTTCAATAATCATCATTAAACTAGGTTGAGGACTCATAAAATGTATGTTTGTGGATCGATTCAATGTTTCACGATGGGGACAACAAGCAGTCATAGAACTTTGTCATTATTGAGCTCTATTTCAGACTAACTAAATAGCCAAACCTTGGTTAATAGTACTCATGTCTCCTTTCATTATCCATAATGATA